AAAAGTTAGTGTATTCTTGTTTTAAAGTCAAAAGTAGACTCGAGTTACGAAATCTGCCCCTAATTTGAATCTTATGTGTATTCAAAACGCATCAAAAAGTAGAGACAAGTGATTTGCTTTTCGATCCAAAGCAAGTGATTCAAAAATCAGTCAGAAAACAAAGTAATCATTCCTTGTATGGATTTTTGTTGAAGATCAAATTTTATGTGTATTAAAAACACGTCCACAAGCAGATACGTTTTTTTACTTTTAAATTCAAAATTGGTCAACGAAGAGTGAACGGGCGGACAGAGCACCGATTTTTCTTGCTGCAGAATAAGTGTACGTATTCTGGTCGTAGATGATATTGTTTGTTGTAACTACTGATGTTGTTGTAACTAAGGGGTAGTTTTTTCCATGCAAAATCTTAAACAATCTTTTGAAACAAAATTTTAAAGCTCTAGACGCGTGTTCAAGTTTAAATATTTATAAATTTTACGTGATCGCTTTAAAGTATCAACCAGAGGTTTAACAAGTATACAGGCTAATATTTCTAATAAAAATTTTTAAAAATTAAAAGTAGAGATAGTTTTTAAGTCACTATATGAATTATTGACTTGAAAAAAAAAGAAAAATTTAAATGGATTAAAATGCGTTTGCCATACAATGACTTGTCATATGTCAGGTACGTACCGAAAGTTACGTGGGTCAAATTGAAAACTCATGTACCCAATAAAATTAAAAACTCTTCGTCCAAGCTTGGATCTATTTAGCTTGAAAAAATTGACTCGCATTTATCCAGAAGAACGGCCAGGGCGGATTTTTCGATATAAAGCCTCAGCAAACAATGAAAATAAAATTCCACACAAGGCACCAGGATAAAGCAATAACCTCAAATATTTATCACTCAATTAACCCTCAAACATTCAAAGAGCTATACGTCAAACCAATCTACCAACGAGATCTGAGCTATGTCTCTTGCCCAATTCCCCTTCCGTCACTCGGCACTTTTTCTGCGTCACATCGGCCAATGTTTACCCGGGTTCTGTTGATTTTCCGAAAAGTAAAAATACAGTACACCTACGCGAGGCCACGAGGAAAATCATCACTCAAATCGATCCCCATCAGTCGCACGCATACCTCGGCCGAACGAGTAAGCAATCAGCTAATAGTCCTCGAGGCACTGGAGGCGCAAAAGCGCGTAAAAACAAACCACCAAGCTGCATATCCCTCCACCGACACGCCGGGTAAGGATGAATTCGCCGAACGACCAACAGTCACGCGCGTCACATTATTATGATCGAAGGGTATACGTACGGAATGATACCTTAACACTCGTGATACCATTTTCACGGGGGTCCTTTTTTTCACGCCACTTGACGGAGCTACACCATCTGCGTACCTATGCACGCAAGCCACGATTGATGCCTTGGGGTTTGGGTGTGCAGGACTATGATTCGGATGATTTTTACGTCGATTGATATTTATGGATAATGGTTGCGAAGATCGCGATGGACGGCGACTTGGTGGCAATAATAGTGGCTTTGTTTCGCAAATAGGCTTATTGCTGTTGTCTTCCAATGTAATGCAATGGATTCGAAAATCTTTTATGATTATGGGATCTCTACAAAATATTGTAATCAATTCATTTTGGATGATGAAATTAATCGAAAGACATTGTATAACTTCTGGGGCTTCAAAAAGATATTAAAGTTATCGTGAATTGTTCGGCTATCTAATTATATTTATAATAAATGAAAGTCCTCGAAACTCTCTAATTTACTGTAGACTTATGGAAGTTATTACTTACAAATACTGTTGCATTAAAGTAACTGGTTGTAAATAAATGATATAATGGAATAGAGACTACGTTTGACAAGATAACCGTTGGATACAAATATTGTCTCATTAACTATAATTGTTACATTATAGCCAGTCATACATATAGAAATCGGGTAAAAAAACATCAAGTTTTTCCCTCACTATTTACATTATAGCATGGACGTATTTAAAAAGTTATAAAAAACAAAGATCCTCTGAAATTTCATCGTATGAAAAAAATCCAGAAAGTCCATGACTAGATTGTCCACCACAAGCGTTTTCGTATTGGAAGAAAAATGATTTTTTAAGCTAGCGCTTCCTTCCAACGAATTTGGAGCAGTACTCTTCGTCGCTGACATGAATATTAGCGCGAAAACTCCACCTTTTTCAGCACAAGATTTTTCTCAATCCAAAAGACAGATCATAGAAACGTGCGAAAGGTGCCGGGCTCATTTACCCAAGCATTTGTCTCGACCCCTGGACGTCCAAAGGAGCCATTTGTTAATCTTACGGGCCGGGTAATTTCCCGTCCCTATCCTAAAAGATGTAATTTTTCCCCACACAGCTGGAATTTTCCCGTGTGAAATATCGCAGGTGTAGGTAATTACCACGGAAGTCTTTTCGATATCGATACTAATAGAGAGGAATTTTCCATAAACCCCACTACCGTTAAACACAAGAAACTCGGTATGCATTTCTCGAAAAAAAAAAAAAAAAAAAAAAAAAATCATGTGTAAAAGTCTAAGTATCGCACCCACGATTACCTTGCCCCATCTCAATTGCTTGAACTTTCTCCAAGCAACGGTCAACTACTAATAAACGGAAGCTGCTCGTTATCGTTACGCGTTTCTCTCTCTCTTTCTCAGGGCACCGAGTGATAAACAAAAAAAAAAAAGAAACTAACGAGAGAGATAAGCGTCCCCCATCCTCCGTATACTTGGTCGTGATTTGCTTCCGTTCGTCTTGGTGAGGTCATTTTCTCTCTATCTATATTCATCTCCCGAGTCGTCGGACTTACATAAGTGATACCACGAAGCAGGGGAGCGGGACTACGATGGCTCGGTGCGTGTTTATTTGTACTTTGCAGCTTGTCTTGCTCGACTCTCACGCTCGAGATCTGTGCGAGCGTCGCGCACGACAATTTCTTTTACGCTTATGCGTTGATGCACAAATGGAGCTGGTTTATCATCGGAGGAGAGGGTACACTGATTGGACTGGGAGATCGTTTTTTTTTTTTTTCTTCTTTATTAGTTTTAAGGAAGCGTATATACACCGGGAAATATTGCAACTGTTTGTGGATCAAAAATATCCCAACTCGAGAATATGTTCATTGGTTTCTTATAAATCATGAAGTAATTGCTTTTGAAAGTTGTAATTGTTATACTGGAAAATGTTTTTCATTGCATGCGGTATTGAATGAGATTTATTAATTAACTTGCTTGTTAGTTATTTGAAAAAAAGTCTTTTTCAATAGAAAACGTATACTGAATCTCAAAAATTTATTTATGGATAGAACCATTACAAGCTGATACACAAAATACATATATATATATTAAGCTTGCACTCATTAAAGATTAATGGTAAGATAGCCCATTCTTTTTAATTGAGAAGCTTTTCCTATTAATATTGCCTCTGAATTTCTCTCGTTTTCACATATTTTTTCTAAAAAAATTAAAAACCTCAAAACAAAATCCATCCGCAATCTATTGGATGTTCTCTTCTAAAGCACTCTGTTATCGATTTTCATTCACACTTAAAGAGCTACACACTGTTATTATTATTTTTCATACTACTTGAATGAAAAAATTTATATTTAAAGAGCTCAAAAAACATCACGAAAATGCACATTTTTATTGGTTCATTAGCAAAGTAAATTACAGATAAGGTTAAAACATGAGGTAGTATATTAAAACTTTTTATACTTTTTCTTTGGTTTTGTTCACGATAGTGTTACTTCTAATTTGTTTAATTTTCACGTCACTTTATACTGTTTCGTGACTTGAGTGCAAAAAATCAATAAATCAAAAGGCATTTAAAGGGCTAAAAAAATTTACAACGAGTTCTGACTGCTACATTCACCTCCCATCAACAATAAGTTTATTCCCGTAAAAAAATCGAGCCTTTTATGCCTTGTTTCATAGGCTAGGAGAAACAAACGAATGTCTATCAATGGAATTTTTTTCACTCATTACTTTTTCATTTGGTGAATGTATGCATGAAGCTATTAGGGTTTGACAAGATACGGAAAGAGAAATCGATGAATACGATGTTCTCTCGTAAGGTGGTTTCGAAAAATATTTTAGGTTTTTGAGCATAAGGATTTTGATACTGTCATCCGATATACAATGGATTTGAAAACACGTCAAGAAACTGTTGATTATTTATAGACTTTTTTTTTTTCATAACTATACTTGTGTATGACAAAAAATAGAAAAATAGCGCAATAAACATTTAAATAGTTTTTTCAAATACTTGGACACCCTTTTGTCCTAAATTTTTATTCAAGCACCATGTTGTAAGTAGTAAAAAAAAAAAAGAACCCACGCACATAATGCATGATATTTCCAGAAGAAACTAAAAACCCGATCATTATTCATTCCAACCAACCCAGCCAAAATCCTAAGGCTTGTTAGTTTCTTCACGATAACAACGAACCATTCGCCCGAAGGAAAATTAATTTCCGTTGTCGTAAAATCACGTGCGCTCGTAACTCCTAATCGTAAAAAAAAAAAAAAAAAAAAAAACAAATCATTCCCCCGACGAAACTCGGCTCGCTGATTAGCGCGTGATTGAAAAATTCCACCGCTGGGGCGTAAAAACTCTCGATCGACGTTCGATCGCCAGCTGACCTTGAGACACATGGAACAATCATTTGAGGCTCGCCTACATTTTAGGAACCCAAGTAAAGAAAAGAGGGAGAGTTTTCCCTGAAATCGACTAGAGCTACAGACCCATAGAGAGAATATATGTATAGACACAGAGGCCAAACCCGCGAAGCATACAGAGAAAGAGAGCACGCGCGCTCTACCACCCCGCCTCCTCTTATGTAGCTTTTCCACCTCGGAGCAGAGAACGTACTGGTGTACACGTTGGAGGAGGAGGAGGAGAGCGCGCGTGCGAGCGAGAGAGAGAGAGAGAGAGAGAGGGCGCGTAGTGGGAGCACCTCCAAAGCCACGGCCGCGATCAGTCGACCCCGTGCATCGCGGCACGCTGGCCGCCGCGCCTGTAACAATACACACACCCTGTACAACGTGTTCGCGTCCTGCTTACAGATACATGCTCGCACACACGTAGCTCATCGTTTAGGCGCATCCCCCGTTGTCGTTACTATTGTTGCTTGGTGTGCTGAAAATCATTTTTTTTTTTTTTTTCTTTTCCATTATCTTTCTGTGCGCGTCCGAATATGCATTTGCCCGTATGGGTATTCGCGAGAAACTCGTGCGTGAGTAAAGGATATAAATGATAGCAGTGCGTGGAGCCCGTCATTGAAAAAGTGATTGGTATTACAATAAGCATACATATATACAGTGTGTTCCCTTCCGCGAGTGCGCGCGCGTTTGCACCAACGTATTCACGTAACGCGTAACATAAACACCTATAGTGTCTCGCGTGCGATGCGCGCCGATCTGTGAGCTCGAACGAGCCATATATACAGCAGCAGCGGTAGTAGCGGAAGAGCATACCGATCAATCGGCAGGCATCGTCCAACCATGCGATCCTTGCTCGGAGTGCTGGTGGTGCTGGTCGCCCTGCTCCCGGACGGCGCGCTGAGCTTCCACGTGCGCGGTCGCGAGGCCCGAGCTGGCAAGAACAACAACAACAACAATGGGCCCTCGCGCGAGGAGCTCGAGGCGCTGGAGGACCCGCTGGTGGTGCGGACGACAAGTGGCCTGATGCGCGGGTCCGTCCGAACGATAGACGACCGCGAGGTACACGTCTACCTGGGCGTGCCGTTCGCCAAGCCCCCGGTTGGGAGGCTGAGGTTCCGCAAGCCCGCCCCCATGGATCCTTGGCCGGGGGTGTTGAACGCCACGCAGATGCCCAACAGCTGCATACAAGAGCGATACGAGTACTTTCAGGGCTTCGACGGCGAGGAGATGTGGAACCCGAACACCAACGTCAGCGAGGACTGCCTCTACATGAACATCTGGGTGCCCAAGAAGGTCAAGCTGAGGCACAAGGGGGGCGGCGAGACGCCGGGGGAGGGTGGCATGCCGATTTTGGTGTGGATATACGGGGGCGGGTACATGACCGGTACGGCGACCTTGGACGTGTACGACGCTGACATAATGGCAGCGAAGAGCGACGCGATCATAGCGTCGATGCAGTACAGGGTGGGGGCCTTTGGCTTTCTCTACCTGAAGGAGTACTTCGAGGGTGGGGCTACGACGGAGGACGCCCCAGGCAACATGGGCCTGTGGGACCAAGTAATGGCCCTCAAGTGGCTCAAAGACAACGCGCGGCTCTTTGGCGGGGATCCCGAGTTGATAACGATATTCGGGGAGTCGGCGGGCGGTGGCTCGGTGTCCCTCCATCTGATGTCACCGGTGACCAAGGGCTTGGTGCGCCGGGGTGTCCTGCAGAGCGGAACCCTCAACGCGCCCTGGAGCTACATGACAGCGGAGAAGGCGAGCGAGGTGGCGCGCATACTCGTCGAGGATTGCGGGTGCAACTCGACGATGCTCGAGGACAGTCCGGGAGCTGCGATGGCGTGCATGAGGGCCGTGGACGCTAAGACCATTTCGGTCCAGCAGTGGAACAGCTACGGGGGCATCCTCGGCTTTCCGTACGCGCCGACGATTGACGGGGTGTTTTTGCCGCAGGATCCGATCGAGTTGCTGCGCGAGGCCGATTTCAACAAGACCGAGATCATTATTGGGAACAACGAGAACGAAGGTAAGTTGTGGTTGTTTGGGGGGTTGGAGGGGGTCAGTGATGTGGTTTCGGTGAGAGTCGTGTCCCACGTGCCTTTCACGAGGAGGACTGTTTGGTGATGATGTGAGTGCGCTACGGGTTAGGGACTTGGCCCTTTTCGACACGGTGGGTTTTTACGTTATTTTGGACGAGGAAAGTGACGTGCTAGCTTGGTTTTGGGTTTTTCCACGATATCTTGGGGTTTTCCGTTTTTGATCGCTCGGTCTCTGAAGAAATCGTTTTTTGCTTGAAAATGGAAGCTTCAAGGTTGACGTGATGACTTTAAAAAAAAATAATAACAAATTCAAAAGAAAGAGTATTAAAGTATTCGACAACAGCATTTAACTATTTTTACGAATAGCAAAAATTTAATAATCTATAAACGTACTTTTATAACACTATATGTTAAAAAAAGCTTTATTTCGCAGTACTAGAAAAACTAAAAAAAAAAATTGCGCTTACCTGTTGGTATTAAATTCACTTTTTCGGTAACAGAAACAAAAAAAAGCTTGACTATAGATACTTTGCGTGGTAAAAACATTGTCAATACAGGACGAGTGTACTACATTGATTCCAACAATTTTATGGGGGAAGCCATAGAATTTAAAATCTCAAAAAGCCATAAAACAACGACTACAAGGCGCTATTTGATATTTTTGCAAGCGATTAAATAGCTCTTAAAGCATCACCGAAACCAGTACTACGTTTTCATACCGTTTGGTTAAAAGAGTCGATTCGGCGAATTTATTTCCCGAACGATAGGTCGTTCGGTCAGGACGGAGTACCCCGCAAACTTATCTCCATTTCCGTTACGAGTGATTTGTAGATCCCATTTGACGTGCATCTAATCTCCGTTGTAATTTATCGTTTTGTATCGGAGAGAGATTATCCATCGCGCTGAAATTAATCCAATCAAAATTGATGTACTTCCACGAATTTTTCCAATATTTCCAACTAAACGTATCACAATCAGCCGTGCATCAGCAATAAAAGCATAAATTTCCGTAAGCTACATCATTTTCTAGGTGATTACACGCGATTAGAGTTAAACGTCTGGATTGACGGGCTTTAATCGGCCACTCGTTACGCTGCAACTTTTGGTAGCGCAACACCCTCACATATTTACGTCTCGCTCGATCGCAATGAACGTCGATTCTTTGTTTTCATTTGCCTCTTCCCTCGAGCTCTTTACGAAGGGACACCATTATACCGTTTGATTGATCACCAAACACACTCGACGAGCCTCTACACACACACGTGCACGAGCACCTACGAAAACTTGTCAATGGTAATCGATAACGCGGACAGCTTCATTATTCCCGCATCGCATCGAAAAATCTCTATCAATTTTCCCCCTACATGCGACAAACAAGTAAAAAAAAAAAAAAAGATAACATGAAAAACAGCGTAATAGCGCTTCGGGCGTCAGATCGAGCATAATCCGAATTGTACAGCGAGAGTCATCGTGATTATCCCTACACGTGTAAATTATACGCAAGCGCGGATAATAGACGAGAGAACAATAATAACCGTAATTATCTGTGCCCAGCTCGCTCTGGTGTATAAGTGCGCGTGTAACACCCATTGGCGCAATAACGAGACGATGTGCACATACAGCACTTGTGGGTATTTTTATTTGTCTACGAGTCCGTAGGAGACACGTCTCCGGCCTCTGGAGGCGCTTGGCGAAGAAAGAAGAGAATGACACGTTTTAGAGATAATTATTGTCTCCAGTGCTGTACAATATGTACACTAATAATGTGGTGGGCGGTGGCTGCCGTTGTGTGTATATTAAAGCTCGCTCGGTAAATCCTGGGACAGACGGTCGTTAAGATTATGCGATGGGTACAGGTATATAGTGGGACGAAACGAGTGGTTTTTTGCACAAAATGGCCAAACAAGAGATCAATAGAATGACCGATGTTTCATGTATTTGGGACTGGTTCATTGATACATTTGTGAATCCCAACTTGGTGTAATGTAACATGAGAAGGACATGCGAAAAAAAGCCACGGGTACTCGTCTTACAAAAAGCACCCGTGTCGATCTCAAGTGTCCCGTGTCGGTTTTCCAGCTTCTGTAACCCGACCGGCCGTCCACTTTGAATTCAAATCGGTTCCCAGCACACCCATCATGTAACTTCGTCATCGGCCCGTCCACGAGCTCGTACGCACATACGTACCCACACGAAAAATACAATGTCACCACGAGTTCCTTTTTCTTTCCCCACTCAATTCCGTAAAACTGAAAAAAGGGGGAGGGAGTGAACGAAAAAAAAAAACAAACAAACCAGCCTCCCTCGGATACACCTAGAGAATCCCAAGTTCAGCGCTATTGGAATTTACATGCGTACCTACATGCATAGAGTAAAGAAAAGGAACCACGTATATACTTCCATTCCGAAGGCGCGCGGCGTTCCCCCGAGATCCCAACTTCTTCTGTTCCTCCCTTCCCATGGTATATATATATATATATATATATATATATATATATATATATGTATACCCTGCGCGCACGCCAGGCGGAATAAGTAAACGTTGCGGGGTGGTATTTTATTTCACACTCCCCGGCAACGCCCTCGTGTGCCATTATACGCGTGTGTGCTCGCACTCGAAGATCATTGAAAACTTTGGCTCGTGCCTACTTTATGACCGCGTCAAGGGCACCTTTGCGAGAACACGAGAGACGAGCGATTGTTTTACAATTCGTCGTACAGGTGTATCGGATTGTCTGGAGGGAGGGAACGAGATACAACGTAGTCGAGTGGGGTATTAGACAGAATATATCGAGACTTTTGTAGAAGAACGGAGAGGTGAGAAAGTTCGGTTTGGTGATGTCCGATGGTTTTGTTACAGGAAAGTTTGATGATTCGTGCATTTGGGCATTAATACCACAATGGCAAATGACAGGTCATTTAATACCAACCTCACATCCCGACGATAAAACTCGTGACCTTGCACCCTCTTGACTCGGTATCGCGGACACAGAACGACCTTTGTAATTTTAATCTCACCGATTCATTGTGAAAGATTTCACGATTTTCGAACCCGTTCATCGTCCGATGGATCATCACCGCAGCTCCTTGACTCGCTCTTCAAATCTAAAAAGCTCCATCCACAAGGTGCACATGTGTGTGTACTTACGTATAAGAAAGAGAGAGTAGCACAGACGTGTGGCTACAACGGGTGTACACGTGTGTGTGATCTCGTTCGACCCTTCCAAGGGAGCCCGAGCGCTCGCGCTGTTGACCCGAACTTTTGTCTCCCAAGACCCTCTTCCCACCCTCTCGGGGGATCGGAAGGGAGGCACCGGCCTTCGCTACCTGCGCCGAGAATTCAGTTAAAAAGTAGTGAGTAATTGGATGATTAGTCGAGCGAGCGAGAGAGGCAGGGACGAGAGTTTTGAAACTCCACTCTGGCTAAAGTACGGTCATCAAAGACAACGCGAGTCAAGTGTCCCTATACGAATGAACACCTCTATATATATACGTACATCAGATTGGATTTTTTTCGCTCCTTGGGGCAAATTTTGCGAAACGAAGGGATGGCGGGCAGCCGAGCTTGCAGAGGTAATTGAAACCGTTAGTTGAGGCGTCGGACTGTCTATACACGTAAACCTACAGTATGAGTTAGGGTGTTTTGGAAAACCTCTTCTTCCGCGATGTTCGATCGCCCGGACGAGCCACGCACGCACCAACGATTAGCCGAAATGCAAATTCGCTCGGGGTTTATGCTCGCTTCCGCGTGAAGGATCGATAAACCCGTATTCTACCAGTGTTGCGTATACACCGTCCTCCAATCGACATGTCGAAAACACACGCAGCGTGTGTCCCACTTGGTGCACGCACAAAGAAACGTAACTAAGGTGGCGGAGCTGAAAACGCTCGTAAAAGATTTCATTGCAGTTAATACGGCTCGACATGCGACTGTTTTGGTTAGAGGGGGTATAGGTACTCTTGGCACGCCTGTACTACGTGTGTACTGGGCATGACGGAAAACTATTATTTATACTTACAAACGAGAACGAGTTTTAGGGTTAATAAATTACGAAATGATAACGTGAGCGCGTGCAAGTGCTTAGGTTGTAAAGTTGATGTTGTTGTTTTTTTATGGGTACGCAAGAGTTGAGACAGGGGAAGGGGGAGCCTGGACTTTGCAAGTAAGTACGCGGAAGAGGTTGGTAGTAAATATTAATTTGTTCGTGATAAGGCTCTCTAATGCCTTTCGCGTAGCTAATTATGATTGACTTATAATAGTGGCACAGGTGGCGTGCTTCAGATGGAAAGATTGGTTAATTTTAATAATTATTATGATTTTGTTGAGAGGCTTATTGAGATATTTTTTCTCGAAAGACCGCGTGTCACGAGATTTTAGTTTGTTTTGTTTATGGTTGGATTGATTGAGACTGATTAGATTACACTTTATTTTTAGTTAGTTTCATAAAATAAAAAACCTAAAATTAAAATTGAATCGCTGTTATTTACTATGGAAAATTCCTCAAGTACATAATGTCTTGTGTTAATCAGTTTAATAAAAAATAATTATTGATTTGGAATAAGTAATTAGCTGATTCGAAAAATTGTTTTACGGATGAACACGTATAAAAGAAAATTATTTTTCTTTAATTAAGTGCGTTTTTTGTTTTTTTTTGTAAAAAACTACTTTTCCGCCCTCGGGTGGTTTTGGGAGGCTGGTACTTCCTCGGGCGAAAAAGCAGTTTTCCGGAACTCGTTCGAAAAGTCTCCTTTACGAACCTCGTTACGTCCCTCGCCTTCGGCTCGGGCCGCAAACCTCTCGGTTCGCAAACAGAGACGTTTCAAACTCGTAGGAAAACTACTATTATTCATAACCATTCACAGTACATGGTTGAGAAAATTTTTTTGGCAATGCGATGGGAAAAAAAAATTTCGAAATCATCTGACTTCTTATATAAAATCTAAATCTTTTACTGAGCTGTCATAAAAGTAATCCACGTGTTTCTCT